GGACAAAAAACTATATTTCGTTGTCTTTGGGCATGAACCAGTCATGCAATATACAAGATATCTCTGTTATCGTCTATTTTTAGAGCATACCTGAGAGGGCAGAGTTGCCATATATGGAAAACATAAATGGTCCACCTCTGTTTGGTGCCCAGGGATTTCCCGCCTCTATTTGGCACCCAGTCATTTCGCTAACAATGTCAACTTAAACAGAAAAAAAAACGGAAACAGTTTTGTTATCCCTGTACTAATCCCTACATTTCCAAAAACCAACCAAACATGTGGCCCCCGCGCCTTATGTCTGGCAACAATGACAGGTCGAAATCCTAGAAAGGAACTTGCCGTCATATAAAACGACAAAATCCCTGAGAGGTCAGACGGCTATTTTCGCCAAGGTCTTGAACAAATTCAAGTCGCGAATAACAGTTGAGGATAATGACCTGGGCAATCTTCGGAAGGTACGTAACCCTCTGCTTGAATTTCATCACCAGGTTAACGAAAGGAACAGGCCATGCGTATATGGTACATCGAAAAATCCCGAGTCCACAAACCAAAAGAAGTCAAGGTTCGGAGCATGAATTGGAACTTCCGGATGGTGGCAGCTGTTCTGAAGAAGAAAGAGGTCAAAGAAGCTCAGGGCATTCTCTCCACGGATGGCCGGATTAAGTTTGGGACTTTTCAAGCAGGCCTGAATTACGTCTTGGAGAAAATGGGGGAAGATGAGAAGGAGGAACTGAAGGATATCGCCATCAAATGGAATTCAGAAGGCCCCCCTGCAGAGGAGAAACAAAGGTGGGCGTTCATGGTCCTGGGTTATTGCCATTTGACCTACTGAAGAATAGACTGTCGGAAAAGTGGGCAATGAAGTTTTGCTGGACATTTGCGGAAAAAGCTTGGAAGCAATTTGGTGGAAGGGTATATATATTTTGGGGTTCCTGGGATACAAATGGATCTCTCACAGTGTCGAAGTTCGATTTCAATGCGGAGTTTGGTCGCGGCACCAGTTATCGAGATATAGCACATGAGGGGCCCATGACAGATGTAACCTGGGGGAAGTATCTACAGCAATGTTACGATGTGGAGGAGAATCCCTGTACTTTACCTTCCCCGGCTTAATCCATATGGAATCCATGGAAGGGGGGGTGGATTCCAGAAATTCCAGATGGATTCCATGGAATGGCTGATGGATTCCATACTTTGGGGGATGGATTCCATACTTTTGGGGGATGGATTCCATGGAATAGCTGATGGATTCCATACTTTGGGGGGATGGATTCCATACTTTGGGGGATGGATTCCATGGAATAGCTGATGGATTCCATACTTTGGGGGGATGGATTCCATGGAATAGCTGATGGAATCCATACTTTCTGGGATGGAATCCATACTTCTTTCAGATGGAATCCATTCTTTTTTAAGATGGAATGCATCCTCTTTCCATATGCAATTCAGTTAGAATAAGTTCCCATTCTGGTAAAATTAAGTACAAAAATGTATTATATAAGACTACACAATTTTATTTTACTACATACAATATTAAAGGGAGAGGGTGGAGGGAGGGGTGTAGATGTAGAGTGATGAAGTGAGGGGGAAGTGATGGAGGGAGGTGGGACTGGTGGAGAATGAGAGGGGAGGGAGGGAGGGGATGTGGGAGAGGGTGTGGTGCAGAGTGAGGGAGGGGGGAGTGATGGGCATGGGGGTTAAGGGAGGGGGTGAGGGAGGAGGAGCTAATGAAGGGGTAAGGGGATTGATGGAGGGAGCAATGGGGGAAGGGGGATGGTGGAGGGGTGAGCTATGGGGAAGGGGGATGACGAAGGGAGGAAGGAGGAGCTCACCTGGGCTCGCCCTTGCCCGTGTCCGTTCACGCTCGTCTTCGTTTGTGGGCGTCATCAACACGCTCGTGCGTGGGCGGTGGATGTTGTTGCGTGGGCGTTTTCGTGGCG